TTAACACCTAATGAGAGCTGATCAGGCTCCTGCCCAGAAGTGAGCGGGGCTGACAGGCTGACTAGGGCACCTTTCTGCGGTCTTCCCTTATTCAAAGACCCAACCCCACTGTCCTTCCCCCTCTTTGGGGTCCAGCGAGGTCCTTAGGCACAGAGCAGGGGCCTCTGATCCAGCCTTGGAGAGACTCTAAGACGGGCTGGAGGGTACACCTTCTGTCAGGGAGCCAGGGGAGGCCCCACCCCACCAGCCAGGCCTCAGCCAGTGACCCTAAGTGGTCGGCGCTGTCTTCATGGTCAGGAAACCAAAGGGTATTAGAGAAAACAGACCAAAGGGGAAGAGACCGCATGAGGGGGCCTAGACAGTTTGTCACAGGTGGGTGTGCACCTTCTGCCTAGGCTGTCCCCCAAGGAGCCAGAGCCCCGCCCAGCAGGGTTTTGGAACTTCTAAAGGGAGAGCAAGTGGGGGGTGAAAGGCAGATGTAGAGCATCTGAGTGGAGGGCTGGGGTCACAGCTTGCTGCAGGTGTGAACAGCTCGGGCCCTTGCAGGGCCTCAAGTAATGGCTATTAAAACAGGTTACACGAAGGAATATTCTGTAATCAAGCTTGCTCATGCATGTCTGCTAAGTTTTGGTGGGCATTTCTGGTAGGCTTTCTAGACTTCAGTTTAAAATTTTGGCTTTCCATTCAGTCCTCTCCATGTGATTGTGACTTTTGGGGACTGTTGGGTAGGATCTGCATGTTGGTAGGTTTTGAGGGTGAGAATTTACTAAGAGTGGAACCTGGACCCTCTGCCCTAAGCTGCATCCTCTGTCCCATTTTATTTTGTTATTTGGAAATAGGGTTCCACTTCAGTTCCCCAGGGTGGCCTTGAACCTCCTCCTTCAGTCTCCCAAGTAGCAGGATACGGGCATGCATCCCACAGCCATCTTCAACATTGACTGACCCTTTCCTCAGCACCAGCTGGATGGATCCGGCTCCTCACCTCCCCCATCAGTGCAGGGCTCCCGGGCACAAGCCTCCAGTTTGTCCCTGTGAAGTCTCAGCCCCGAGCCTTTCCTACCTCGCTGTAGATGTAGTGGGCCCAAGCACCATCTCCAGCGGCCCCAGTGCCCAGCCCCGTGTGGTGTTGTCTCCGTGCCCTCCACATTACCAGCCCCTTGTCTGAGCCACTGCCACAGTCGAGGAGCAGAGCTTGGGGCCAGAGCGCTGTGTGCCCGTCATGCGCCCAGCGTGTCGCAGCCACTCGGGTAGCGTCGCTGCTCTGCCGTCCATGGCTTCCCCTAACGTGTGGGTGGTACCACAGGCAGTTTTGAGGTGCACACCTGTAATCTCAGCCTTCTGAGCCGCTGGGGCAGGAGGATGGTAGGTTTGAGCGCACCAGGGCAATTTAGGAACCTAGAAAAACGTGTTTCAAAATTTCAGAATATCGAGGGGGCCAGGGAGATGGCTCAGTAGAATAAGGGCCTGAGTTCAATCCCTAGTTCCGCCAAAAAAAAAAAAAGAAAAAAAACAAAACAATATCAAGGGCTGGGGCTGCAGCTCAAGGCCAGTCTTTGAGTCCACTTCCCAGCACAACAGGAAAATAAGCATCCAGCCTTGTCCGTCCACGCCCTGCTCGCCCACCAGCCCTGCTGCCAGGCCCTCCTGTCGTCTCAGCGCGATGGGCTCTGTGCGGTGCGCCCCCCGCCCCCAGCCCTGGGCTGGGCGTGCTGAGCCCCGGACACCCCGCCCCCTGCGCCTGTCCGCAGGTGCACAAGCTGCTCATCGTGGTCGAGCTGCTGCTGGGCGAGATCCCCGACCGCCTGCAGTTCCGCCAGCCCTCGCTCAAGCGCTCGCTCATGCCCTACTTCCTACTTACGCAAGGTAAGGCTCCCCGCCCCCCGCCCCCCGCCCCAGGCCCGGCTGCTGCCGTGCGCACCTCGACGCCCTCCTCCCGCCCCACAGCCGTCAGGACGGGGAACCTGGCCAAGTTCAACCAGGTCCTGGACCAGTTTGGAGAGAAATTTCAGGCCGATGGGACCTACACGCTGATCATCCGGCTGCGGCACAACGTGATTAAGACAGGTGTGCGGCCCGCTTCCCGCCCTGGGACGCTGCCCCGGGACCCCGGGCTGCCTCGGGACGCGGGGGGAGGCCATGCCCACCGCCGCTGCCCCCGCAGGCGTGCGCATGATCAGCCTCTCGTACTCGCGCATCTCGCTGGCGGACATCGCGCAGAAGCTGCAGCTCGACAGCCCAGAGGACGCCGAGTTCATTGTTGCCAAGGTGGGGCCAAGGTCCAGGCTGTCACCCTCCCCGAAGGGGCGGAGGTGAAGGAGGTGTAGGAGGGTGTGTGCTAGGGACGCGCTCTGTGGCCACGAAGCCAGGAGGTTGCCCAAGAGGGTCACGAGTGCGTGCGTGAGCGTGGATGGGGAGGGCCGGAGGAGCCGGCGCCCGTGACCACCGCCCCGGGGCCCGCAGGCCATCCGTGACGGCGTCATCGAAGCCAGCATCAACCACGAGAAGGGCTACGTGCAGTCCAAGGAGATGATCGACATCTACTCCACGCGGGAGCCGCAGCTGGCCTTCCACCAGCGCATCTCCTTCTGCCTGGACATCCACAACATGTCGGTCAAGGTGCGCCCCCTGGCGGATGGCTGGGGTGCAGGCCGCCCGCCCTGGTTTCCTCCTGCAGGCGCTCGCCGGCCCAGGCCCCCGACGACTGGCCTGCCGCTCCTTCCCACAGTGCCCGCCAGGGACCCTGGCCCCCCTGCTCCCTCCGAGGGCCACCAGCCCCGTCACCCTCTGGGTCTGGGGCGTCTTTCCCTAGTGCCAGCCCTGCTGCCCACCTAAGGGGCCGCCCAGTGGTGTGATGATGCGGCTGAGTGACCGTCCCCTCCCCGCTGTCCCCAGGCCATGCGCTTTCCTCCCAAATCGTACAACAAGGACTTGGAGTCCGCAGAGGTGAGTGGCTGGGAGCGCCCCGTGGGAGGAAGGGCCCGAGGGAGGGCAGCGGCCGACGCCTCCCCTCTGTCCGCAGGAGCGCCGGGAGCGCGAGCAACAGGACTTGGAGTTCGCCAAGGAGATGGCGGAGGACGACGATGACAGCTTCCCTTGAGCGCGGCTGGCCCTGCCCGCACCCGCGACTCAGACTAGTTTGGGGTACAGGCTGCCAGCACCCCGGCTGCCTCAGCCTCTCCCTGGGGGACACCGCTGGGGGTGACGCGGGCCCCTGGGCAGGGCGGCCACGCTGTGGCAGGAGGGGCCGTCCCTGCCCGCTGGCACATCCCTGGAGTGGGTGTATATTGGATGGGATGTTTTTTGAAGCTTCAGTTAAGATTTTTAAACAATAAAGACTTCTCCAAAGCTCTGTACGTTGCGTGCATTCCTCCCCTGTCTGGTGGCTGCGAGATGACATCCGTTCTCTGGACTCGGGGCCCCGTCTCCCCCGACCCTGGGGCCCTCGGGTGCGGGGCAGAGCCAGACCTGTGTGCCTTCCCGGTCCGCGGGTACTGGCCCAGCACGGCCTGGCTCTGCATCCGGGAACCTGAGCTTCCGGAGGTTGTAACAGCAGCGTGCCGGCCGCAGCGGGGAGCAGGCTTTGCCTGCGCCGGGCTCCCGTGCTGCTGCGAGCAGGACCGGATGCCTTCCCGCTCTGCCAGCGTCTGTGCCACAGCCCCTCTGCCCACCGGGCCTTCCGCCCACCTGTTCACAGCTCTTCCCGAGCAGGGCCAGGTCATGGAGAGCACTCGCTCCTGCTTGTGCCAAGGGACCCCTGTGCTACACCCCACCTGCTCCCCGGTGTTTGCGAGAGGACAGGACTGCTGGTAGCTTCCACTCGCCTCTTCTGCCTGGTGCTGGGTTCCAGCAGCTTCGCCAGGCATCTGGAGTCACCGTAACGCTCGCTTGTCACTTGTGGAGGTAGAAATGTAGGTGTCCTGTGAACAGGAATTCACACACCTGCTCTCCTGGTACTTTGGTGGCTGAGGCAGGAGGACTGCTGAATTCAAGGCCATTCTGAGTTATGTGACCCTAAGACCCTGTCTCAAAACAGTGCACGCTTGTCATCCCAGCACTCCAGAGGCTGACGCAGGACGAGGGTTGGGAGTTCGAGACCAGCCCCAGCTACAAAGTGAGCTCAAAGGCAACTTGACCTCAAACGTCTCAAAAAGGCCCCCAAAAGAGGATCAGGAGACGAGAGGTAGGCAGGTCACGTCTCTGCCACGTGTGGCCACCAGAGGGCACTCCAGCTCCAGAAACGCCTGCCCAACCTGGCGCTGCACCCAGGGGGCTCCCTGGCTTAGACACAAGGGTGGCAGGTCAGTGAGTTCACAGAGCCACAACTGGCCACAGCCAGCCCCACACAGCAGACGCATGACACTCACCCACTCTGTGCCCGTGACCTTGGGCAGGGCCCTTCCCGCCTGGGCCAGTCACAAGGCTGGACTGGACTCCAGGCTGCTGCTGGTGCTAATGCTACAAGACTTCAGTGCTTGGGGACCAGGCAGGCTCCTCTTGCTCACCCCCCTGCCCGGCCTACCCTCCAGCTGGCAGCCTCTCCCCCGGGCCAGGGGAACATCATGTCCCAGTCCCCCAATTCCTAAGCCCCAGGGACTCTGCCGTAATGTGTTAGGGCGAGTTTGCCAAGCTCACATGCCAGGGTGAATGTGCCAGGCTAGGTGGAAGGGCAGGGTCAGGTAGCCAGGGCTCCAAGGGGTCTTGATTCATTCAGGACGGACATCCGGTTTCCTCTGGCTTCTGCCTGGATTCCGGGGGCTTAAGGGGTGAGTCATGGGGGATGTTGGGGAGTTCCCAGCTAATCAGCTTGGGACAGGATGGCCTGGAAGGAGCCCCTGTGCCTCTCCAAGTGTGGGACGGAAGAGGGAAGGTCCTGCCCCAGGGCCTTGGCCCACAGGAAGCTAAGAGCCCCCTCGGAGTCTCAGGGCCAGAGTAGGGGGACAATTAGCTTCTTCCTCACCCCTAGAGTTTGACCTCTGGTGCAGTGCAGGTGGCTTGGGAGTCCCAAGGGGAGGGGCTGTCTGGGGTCCCCAGCGAGTACCTGTGACCAGCCTCAGCTGCCCCTCAGGCCTCTAGGACTTCCCTTCGTGGCTTTGTCAGTTTCTGGTCAAAGCCCCCGGGGCAGCTGAGCCCTGGGGCGGGGCCTGAGTGGAGGAAGAGAGTTTGAGGGGGACCAGACGTCAAAGAAGGATCAGAGATTCCACAATTTCACAAAACTTTCGCAAACAGCTTTGTGTCCCAACCCCTCTGCATTGTCCTGGACACCAACAAATTTGCATAAATCCTGGGAAGTTATTACTAAGCCTTAGTAGCCCCAGGTAATTTCCTCCCAGGCCTTCATGGGTTCTGTATAAAGGTCCTCCAAGTGGGTCTCAGCCACAGCCACAGACCAGCTCCCTGTAGCTCATGGCCCGCGCTGCTGCCCAGAGCCCCGCCAGGCTGATGGGTGAGTGTGGCCCCCTTTGTGCTTAGTGTGGGGGTGCTGGGGCTCAGCCCATGTGGATCCCAGCCGCTCTGCACATCCCCTGACAGGGACCTGGTGTGAGCGGCCACGTCTTTTGCTTCCAGCCCTGCTGCTGCTGCTGCTCCTGCTGCTGAGGCACAGTGCCTCTGAGGCCGTGTCCCTGGACCTCACTAGCTCCCAATCTCTGCCTCTGCTCCGTAGCTTCTTGCTCAAGTGCTCAGAGCAGGCACGGAGGGTCCACGCTGGGGCAGTGGCCATGCAGGAAAAGCTGGTGAGCTTGCGGGAGGAGGCCCCTGGAAAGGGACCTACAAGGGTGCTGGGCAGGGGCCCTGTATTGGGTGTGACTGGTGATGGCGGGTGGGGCTGAGGGTCCAGAGGACTTGGTCCTGTAAGTGACACACAGCACCCTGCCATCCCCAGTGTGCCACCCACAGACTATGCCACCCGGAGGAGCTCACACTGCTGGGCCACTCTCTGGGCATCCCATGGGCTCCCCTGAGGAGCTGCTCCAGCCAGGGCCTGAAGCTGGTGAGAGGCGGAGGTGGTGGGGTGGGAGGGGGCGGCACTGATGCCTGCGGTCAGAAGACAGGGTGCCTGTCCTCAGGACGGGCACCTCACTCTGTCCTTCCCCCAGACTGGCTGTCTGCACCAGCTCCAGGCTGGGCTCTTCCTCTACCAGGGCCTCCTGCAGGCGCTGGCAGGAGTCTCCCCCCAGCTGTCCCCCACTGTGGACACACTGCAGCTGGACATCGCTGACTTTGCCACCACCGTCCGGCAGCAGGTGAGTCCTGGGTAGGCAAGGCAAGCAGTCATGCTGGAATGCCCACCCCACGGCCTGGCACCCCAGAAGTGTGCTGGGTTCCCTAGAGACAGCCCACCTCCGTGCTGGCCTCCCTGCTGCCAGCCGTGGGCGGTGCTACCTCTGATCACACCTTGCCCTCCACAGATGGAAGAGCTGGGGGCAGCCCCGGCCGCGCAGCCTCAGCAGGGCACCGTGCCCACCTTCACTTCTGCCTTCCAGCGCCAGGCAGGAGGGGTCCTGGTGGCGTCACAGCTGCAGAGCTTCCTGGAGCTGGCCTACCGTGCCCTGCGCTACCTCCTGGGGCCATGAGCAGCTCCCACCCTTGTATTTATCTGTATTTAATATTTATGTTGTATTTAACCCTCATATTTAAAACCCAAGGGAGAGAGAACACAGCCTGGCTCCCGGGCCCCTCCTTTGGTCTCGTTCTCCTCCTGCCTGAGGCAGCAAGAGCTAAGCCCTCCCGTCCTTGCCCCATACGGGAGGTGGTAGGTAAATACCAAGTATTTATTCCCGCGCCCACACACAGGCCCTCTGTGCAGGGTTCTGGGGACCACCTCGGTCTGTGCCTCGTGCTGGGCCCTGGCGCATCAAGAGGTCTCCCACGTGGGGGACAACATCCCTGTTTAATATTTAAACAGCAGTGTTCCCAGCTCCCTGGCTGGGCCCCCTTCCCCCATACCCCACCTGTCCTGTCCCCACCCGAGCTATGGATGACCTGGAGCGCAGTGGAGAGCTGGCAGGCTTGGCCCTGGAATTCAGTTTTTCTTTCTGTGGTTTCTGGGTGGAGTTTGACTCCAGTACCAGGGGTTCCTGCCCCAGCACCCACTGCAGTGGGCTTCTCCAGGGCCCGGAGGGAATGGAGGGAAAAGACGAGGGGTGCGAGGGAGTCCCACCCCCACTTTCTCACTGTAACCAAGTTTGAGAACAATAAAGTTGGTGGCTCCTGAGTGTCCTTCCTGCTGTTTGCATCCAGGGGCAGGGGCGGGGCAGAGTGGGAGGTCCGGCCTCCCCCACAGTCCTCGGTGCCTCTAAGCCAGGTGCCAGGCGAGGCGCACCCAGGCCCTACCCTGGATCACAAGGGTGCCGAGTGCATGCCCTGGAGGGTCTGTGTGCAGCTGCGGGGCAAGGGGCCCCGCACAGACCAGGCTGGGCCCAACTGCCCAATCTTAAGTCTCTGCTCTGCCTGCGGCCATTTCCTCTGGAGGGGGAGGCTATGGCCATCGGAGGGCCAGGGCCACACCTTGGGTGTCAGGCGCACCCATCCAATCTGGCCTAGCCCACCTGGGTCCCGGAAGCACAGAGCTGGGACCCCAAAGGAACCTGGCAGGGTGACTGGGAGCAGGGCACCCTGTCCAGGCACAGCACGCAGGGCATGACAGTGGGTGGGGTCCTCGGTGCCCCACCAGCGACGTCTGTAGGAGGCTGCTGTCCCATGCAAGGGGCCCCCGAGCCCCATCCTCCTGACCCAGCTGGGCACAGAGGGTCCAGGGGCCTCTGTCCAAGCAGACACCCACAGCACTTGAGGTCACCAAGGGGCCCGAGGGCCTTTATTTACGAGAGCGTGGCGACATCGCCGTGGGGTTTCGAGGCCACACGCAGCTTGTGTGCACACTGGCATCCACTGTGTCCCCTCCTGGCTGAGCTCTTCAGGCGCTGGCAGGAGACACCGGCGCCTCGGGGCAAGGTCTGCAGGGAAAGCTGAGCCTGGTCCTGTGACCGGAGCCCCATGGCTCACCCTTTGCTGTCTGCATGGCCCTGCAGCCACCCGGGTCTCAGAGGGCTGCGATGGCTTTGGCGGCCACCTGGCGGCCCAGGGGCAGGCTGAGGTCTGTGATGGCCAGGACCACCTTTGGGCTGGACATGGCCGACACCTTCACCAGTTCCGACACCTGTCACACAGCACCAGGATCACAAGAGGCCTGGAGCTGGCTCCCAGAAGCCCCGGCGTGCCCACACCCCACTGCACTCACCGTAGTGAACGGCATGAACTGCAGGATGCTGCCCCGGCTGCCCTGCTCCAGGCAGTCCACGCACTCCTCCATGAACCACTGCACGAACTGCGTGTGCGGGCCGGCTGTGCGGGAGCCCAGGATGGAGGAGATGAGCAGGAACAGGTTGGCTGCATGGGAGGTGACGAGAGGGGCTACATGAGGGCCTGGCTGTGGGGCAGACGGGGACAGGGACCTGGGAAAAGCCAGGCCAGGAGGCACACACAGACCCCAGTCCTCAGGATGCTGAGGCAGCAGGCTCACTACAAGTTCACCAACAGCCAGGGCTCCGCAAATGAGTTCAAGGCCAGACTGAACCAGACAGCAAGGCCCCGTCTCAAAAAAAGTCAAAAAGAAAGGGCTGGCAAGATAGCTCAGTGGGCTAAGTGCCTGCTTTGGCAAGCGCAGGGACCAAGGTTCAAACCCCGGTGCTGCATCCCTGCCCCAGGGCACGCTGAGCCTGCCACTGAGTCCAGGCACAGTGGCACATGTCTGTAATCCCAGCACTGGGGAGGATGAAAACAGGAGGATCACTACGGGTCCAAGCTGTACAGTAAGACCCTGTACCAAATACAAAAAAAAGAAAAAAGAAACAAAAAGAAGGCAAAGCCAGCAGCTGGGGAGGTAAGGGTGGGGGAAAAAGTGCAGACACATGGCAGAGGACCTTGGCCGAGGGGTAGAGGGCCACTCACCCAGGACTCGGTTCAGAGGGTCCCTCATGTTGACCGTGTGCAGCTGGGAGGCTGACAGGGAGCTGTTCATGGAGCGGTCGGCTGTGGGCAGGAGGGGATACAGATCCAACCCAGTCTGCTGGCACTCAGGGAGCCCCACAGGGGTCTAGGGCTGGGCCGCAAGAGGAGGTGAGGGGCCAGAGTGACACCCATGGCGCCTCCCACAGGTGGAACCCCCTCCCCTCAGCCCTCAGCGCCCGTCCCACAGTCGAAGGTGAGGGCGAGGACAGCCGAGGCCGCTCCCTGGGCCCCAACAGAGGAACCTGTGGGCTCCACAGAAACTTCTGGGCACCCGGAAGCCCGAAGGCCTGTGATGTGGCTGGAGGAAGTGGCGAGCAGGAGCGGGGCCTGCTCAGGCAGAGCCTGTGTTCTGGGAAAGGAAGGGAGCAGGAGGCTGGTGGTATGCCAGGGCGTGGCCCTGCTGAGGCAGGCAGCGTGCGGCCCGGCCACAGGGGCCTCAACTTCTAAGGTTGGTGACTTCAGCCCCATCTCCAGGGTAGGCAACAGGGCAGTGCCAAACCTCAGCCGACAGGGACAGCACCGTAGCTAGACCCGGCCACATGCATGGGGGGGGGAAGTGCCACAAACCACGTGCTCACTTGGACTCGACAGGATGTTGGTGTCATCCTCATTGGAGCTCAGCAGCCGCATGAGCTTCGAGGGCTGCGTGTCATCCAGAGGGAAGAGGCTGATGTAGTCCTGCAGGGGTGGGGTGGAGGGTGGCTAGTACCCATGTGCCCAAGAGTTCCCGCGTTTTGGTGACCTGAGAGAGGCCCCAGGCTTGGCGGGGTTTTGTGGCTATGGAGCTGGGGTCTTTGGCCTGACTTATTTACTCTTTATATTATGATTTTCAAAACTGCCCCAGCCGGCCTTGACCTGGTGATCCTCCCGCCTCAGCCTCCCCAGTAGATGGGATTACAGGTGTGTGCCGCTGTGTCCAGTTAGAGCTCAGGTTGGGTGAGGAAGCTCAGCTCCCTGCCGCCTCCCAAGGCCATCACCAGGGGCAGAGTCCCTTCCCCTTAGCTCTCCCACTTGAGGGGGCAGAGGGGCCCACACAGAGATCCTGGGGTCCCGCACAGAAGCCCCCGCAGGCAGCCCCCACCTCAATGTCTTCCCGATGCCGCTTCTTCTGGCGGGAGGATGCCTGTCCCTTGTGGGAAGAGTAGGAGCTCAGGGCACACCACACGGCCAGCCTGGCAGGGGTCCAAGACGCGGGGCATGGTTATGGGGCTCTACCCCGAGGGCGCCCCAGGGCCCAGCCTCCTGGATGTGAGCAGAGGGTGTGGGGCACAGAGACCCCTACTTGGCCAGCGCAGTGCCGGGGGGGTCCATGAGGCTCTGCCACTTGGAGGAGTCGGTGAGCAGGCTGGGCAGGATGTGGCCCAGCAGGACCAGGGTCACCTGCTGCATGTCCAGACAAAAGATGGAGTAGAGCAGCTCCACGGCCCGCAGCGTGTGCTCCTTGCGCGTCTCCTTCAACAGCTCCTGGGGGGACGGGGTGCTGAGGGGTGCATGCAGGTTGCCAGGGGTCCCAGATGCAGCCATCCTGCCGGCCCACTGCCCACCACGCACCTTCAGCAGGTTGTTGCAGAACCAGTAGACGCCGCCCATGTGCAGCAGGGTGTCAAAGATGTGGATGGAGCGGCTGTCCACCCAGCCCTTCTCCAGCACCTGGGCGAACACACCCGTCAGCACCTCCTTGATGGGGCGCTTGGGGGGTAGCAGGTTCCAGTAGGGCATGGTGTCCACGCCCGTAGACGGGAACTTGATCTGCGTGGCGGTCTGCTGCAGCACGTCCGCGCACATGTGCTCCAGGATGGAGTTCATGATGACCACTCTGTGGGAGGGAGCATGGGGCGCCTCCTCCTGAGCTCAGGTGGGAACCGCCTGGCAGACCCCACTCAGCCTGCTCCAGGCAGGACTGGCACCTGCTGGAGACAGCGGGCACAGCGCTGGGCTTCAGCCCCGCAGATCCAGCCACTGATTTCCCATCTCTGCTCCATTTCCCCTCCACCAGGGCCGGGCTCTGCCAACTTGGTGACAAATAGCAATGAATACAAAAAGATAAACCACTCCCCTCCCCAGCTCCTAGGGTCCCCGCCCAGCCTTGGCCTCCTCCCAGAGTAAACTGTGGCTTCCAGGAGAGGCCTGAGGGCTGCCCCATAGGGCTCTTCCCGGCCTTGGGTGCTGGGCAGTCTGCGCAACCCTGAGAAGTCCAGGAATCCCCTCCTCTCCTGGGCCTGCTGGGTGCCAACTCTGTCAGCTGGGGCAGCTGCTCTGCACCTGCCCGGGACAGGGTCTCACTGCCCTGCACCCCTAGGACAGGGGTGCTGAGGAGAGCTGAGGGCAGAGCAGGAGTCCAGGAAGAACGGAACATGCGCCAGGCAGGCCAGGACCTGAAATGGCTGAGGAGGCTGACGCAGGAGGATTGCCCCGAGGTCACAGGCTACAGAGCGAGTGCAAGGCCAGCCTGAACTACACAGTGAGACCCTTTCTCAAAAAACCAGAAAGTCAACTAAACAAACAAAAAAAAGTAGCAAAGGGAAAACATGATTTTATAGACCCCCCCACATCTCTTGCTTGAGCTGTTCCCCCCGCCCCCTGTGAGCCACCTGTGAGGTGACCAGATTCACTCTGATGACACCATGAGCAGGGCCCCCGTGTCCACAAGGGGCGCACAGATAACGGGGTTGGTCCACCCACCCTCTGAAAGGAATTCCTGTCACATGCTAGCACATGGTCGGATTTTGAGGAAATTATGCTGAGCAAAATAACTTAGTCATAAAAGACAAAGATTGCCCAACCCTAGCTATCTGCGTGGAGTCCCGGAGGCAGACGTGCAAGGTGAGAAGGCCCTGAGCTCTGCCTCCCTAGTCAGGTGACCCTGACCCCCCTCACCGCCTCAGCATGGTTGGGAGGGTCCATCTTCTTCACTGCCAAAACTGGAAGAGCCCTCAGGCGGTGGTACACGCCTGGGGAGGCTCAAGCAGGAGGACCACCATGAGCTTGAGGCCAGTCGGGCTACAGAGTGAGCTCAAGGCCTGACTAAATGATGGAGCAAGACCTTGTCTCAAAAAAAAAAACCCTAGAAAACCCAACAGGGCAAAGGTTGCGGTTGCCCCGCCAGCCCTAGAGCCACCCAGGGCAGCAGCCACAGCACAGCACGGCCAGGGAGGGCCACATGCGTGCAGATGGGTCCGACCCCGGGTCAGCAATGGGCATGGGGCCGCTCAGTCCCTCCGCTCCTTGCCCCACGACCTCCCGAAGCTCAGGCCCTCCGAGGGCAGAAGCCGCGCCTGCACGGTGCTTTGAGCACACAGAAGACACTGGGGAAGGTGAGGCAGGAGGGTAGGAAGCTCCGGGCCAGCCTGCTCGGCCCAGCGAGGCTCTGTCTCAGAGTGGAAAAATAGCGCAGGCTGGAGCCAGAGCTCAAGTGATGCCCGGGTCCGACCTCCCCCGTGCACTGCCGGGGCGGCACCTGGCAGGGGTGCAGGGGACGCTGCTTGCAAGCCCACGCATGCGCGGTGCGCAGACTGACCTCTCGTTGTAGAACTGCAGGGTGTTCTCGCTGTAGAGCGGCCCGGCCAGCTGGCGGATCATCTGCAGCGACTTCTCGCGCTCGTCCAGGCCCAGCATCCGCACGTGGGCCACGAGCCAGGCCACGGCGCACACGGCCAGGCTGCACACCTTCCCCTTGATGTTGTCCGTGATTTTCTGGTGGGGAGGGAGCTGGGTCACTCTCTCCCTTCATGGCCTGCGCGTGGGGCACCCCTCTGCATGCGCCCCATGTTTAATCTTCCTAGAGCCGCCTGGGTAGGAGGAGGCTGAGGCTAGCAGTCCACGGAAGTCTAGTTCCAAAATCTGAGAAATCTGGGCACTGGGGGAGGGGCTTCCCGTCTCCACTGTTGGGTGTTTGTTTTACCCCAGACAGGGTCTCCCTATGTAGTTCAGGTGCCTTTGAACTCACTATGGAGCCAAGGCTGCCCTGGAACTCGCAGCGATCATCCTGCCTCAGCCTGCTAAGGGCTGGGAGGCCAGGCGTGCACCGCCATGCCCAGCAGCGCCAGGAAGCCTGACCGCTCCCTGTCTGCTCCACTCCCAGGGAGCTGAGGCTACCTGGATGGACTCAAAGGCCAGCACCCCGTTCTCCCAGGCATTGAGGATTTCCAGGATGGCCGCTGAGATGCTGAGGCAGGCCTCATGCCACTTCATCTGCCTGCGGGATGGGCGGGAGTCAGGGGGCGCGTGCAGGAGCGCAGGAGAGGCCGGGCCTGCCCCACCGCCACTGGCCACTCACACCAGCTTCATCTCAGAGGAGTTGTTGAGCAGGGCCACCAGGGACTCCACTTTGGTGGAGTCAGGCCGGAAGCAGGGGTGATCAGGGTTCAGGATCTTGCCCTCCTCCGGCATACAGGTCTGCATCCAGGTCTCAAAGAAGGGCACCTCTGCGCCTGGGCTGGACTCGGACAGGATCACCTACGTGGTAGGAAGGGTGCTTGGGCCCTGGGCCTGGGAGAGCCTGCTCCAGAAGGCGGAGCGCTGCTGTGCTGCCACCTGGTGGCCACTATGGATGTGGCACTGGCAGACTGGGCCTTCCCTGGGGCACCCACCAACTCCCAAGTGTGGGCACTGAGGTTGAGCCCAGCAGAACCAGCCGGCCTGGGGCTGTGGGCATCCCTGGCCACCTCCAACCTCTACCTCCCTGTAGTACCCGAGGCCACCGTGTGGGGTCTCACCTCCGAGCCATAGGTTTGGGCCACATGGCAGAGCATGAGGAAGGAGATGTCGAAGAGCAAGGCCCGCACGGAGGCCGTTTTGGCTGTGGAAGAGGACAGGGACCCTCAGCGGGGCAGTGGGCTTGCTGGGCCGGGCCACTGGAACTCAGCTAAGGAAGGTCAGGGGCCAGAGAGCTCCGCAAAGCCTGAGGCTCAGAATCCTTTTCTTGGGTTTCAAGGAGAACATCATCCCTTCCTGGGGAGTCCAAGCTTCCTTCTCACCAACACACAAGTGATAAGGGGGCCAGGAAAGAGAGAAGGGTACAGAGGCCCCTATGCTGTGCTGCCTCTCGGGGCTCCTGGACTCAGCGGGTCAGGGCTGGGAGACCCAGCACCCAGGCAGCGCCCAGGGCCCCCCGCCCCAAGTGCCATGGGAGCAGGCTCAGCCGACTTACTGCTCTCCCCAGGGCCATGCGTTGTGAACTCGTTCAAGCTACGGGAGGAACAGAGACAGCTCACTCACGCGACATGAGACCAAGAGGGTTATTTTCACATGCAAGGCCTAAGGCCCAGAGAACAGTTCCCAGAATGGAACACAGATGAGCGCCTGTCTTCCCAGCACTCGGGAAGCTGAGGCAGGAGGATCACCATGAGTGTGAGGTCAGCCTGGGTCACACAGTGAGTCCAAGGCCAACTTGAACTACAGAGTAAGACCCTGCCACAAAATAAAAAGGAAACAGCTGGGCAATACAGCTCTGGGCAAAAAGAAAACCTTCAGGTTAACCCACAGTGGCAGTGGCATCTGGAAGGTTCACTAGTAACTGGCTAGCCCGGAAGGCTAAGCCGGACTCCTCCACCACCAGCATCTCAGGCCCTCCGCTGCAGAGGGAGGTGCTCCTGGGGCAAGGGCCCAGCATAGCACACCGCCTCGGGCGGGAGGCTTTGAGCCGGCCTCGCCATGGGGGGGCCTAGCCTTGTGCCTCCCTCCTCTCCCCACAGGGGTGTGCCCGTCCTCACTTGATGAATTTCCTGGCGAAGGACTTCAGCTTCCCAGTGGCAGCAGCAGCAGCCAGCAGCAGGTCCAGGCTCTTCCCAGACAGCATGTGTCCCAGGACACCCAGCAGCCCCTCCGGAGACTTGGAGTGGTCTGCGTCCATGGTCTGGGGAGGACGGGAAGTCAAGTGCTGAAGGACACTGGAGACCCCATCACTGCTGGCCACACCTCCCCATATCTCCGTGCCCGGCACATGCACTCGTAGCTTTATCAGCGCCTTCTGATTCCCTAAAGTCCACTGTGCCCTGCAATCCCTCCCTGCCAAAGGCACTGAATGGGCCGCTCCCCCTGCCTTCAAAGCAGCCGTAGGGAAGCTGGGCAGGGAAGCTGGGTGGAAGAGAGGCCTGCATCCCGCTTCCTCATCGGCACCCAGAGGGAGGGAGGGAGGGGCAGTGTGGCGGGGATGGTGCTCACCTTGAGGATGTTGGTGACAGTGGGCTCTGCCCGCAGGATGAGCCCAGGGTTGGGCTGGATGTTGGCGTTTTCTGACGACTTCAGCTGCGGTGCTTGCTCCCGATCCGCCTTGCTATGGCCACAGTGGTGGCCGCGAGAGGGGACAGAGGCAGGGAGATGGTGAAGCAGAGAGGGAGGGGAGCGCGCAGGAAGCCCGGGCTGCTGGGGCACAGCTGGCTCTGTGGCTGAGCGCTTGTCGTGTACGCACCGGGCCCTGGCTTCAAGCCCTGGGACCACTGAAAATATGGAAATTTAAAAACAGAACCTTGTGGGGCTGGGGAGTTGGCTCAGGAAAATAAACGCTTGCCTGGCAAGCGCAAGGGCCTGAGGTCAATCCCCAATTCTGAAAAGAAAAACAAAACAAAACAAAACAAAACAGAACCTTGGGCCAGAGAAATAGCTCAGCAGTCTAAGTGCCTGCCTGGCAAGTGCAAGGACCTGGATCCAATTCCCAGCACTGCATGCTATGGTGGCCCCAGAACACCAGGCACACTGCGCCAGCCACCGAAACCAGGCGTGGTGGCACACACCTATAATCCCAGAGCTGGGGAGGCTGACACAGGAGGAGCACTGCGAGTCCAAACCATAGCGAGTCCCTGTGTCAAATAATAAATTTTTTTTAAATTAATATTATTGGGGCCGGGGAGCTAGCTCAGTAGAATACATGCTTGCCTGGCAAGCACAAAGGCCTGAGTTCAATCCCCGGTTTTGAAAAAAAAAAAAAAAAAAAATCAGCATTGTATGTACAGCCCCTCGGGGCTGGCTGAGGCTTGCGGCAGGGCTTTCAGGGAAGCACAGCGGCCCTCCTACTTGCCATCAGGCATCACGTCTACCGTGAGAACTCCCGTAGGATTGAAGAAGGAGAGGGCTTTCCTTCTGGATCACACAGGAGGGGAATGAATTTAAAGAGCAACTAACATGCAGCGCCTGCTGGCAAATGGGAGGTTCTGAGTTCACTTCCAGGTACAGGAAGAAAAGGGGGGAAAGCAACCAGGAGGAAACCTGGCCTGCGCGGTGTGGTGGGCACGCTGCAGCCCCAGCACGCGGGAGGCTGAAGCAGCTGGATCACCGTGAGCTCGAGCCCCGCCTAGGCTACAGCCAGCTGGAGACCAGCCTGAACACAGATCCTGTGCCAAAAATGCACTAAGATGGGCTGGGCTGTAGTTCCGGGGCACAGAACCTGCCGAGCATATGGCAGGTCCTGGGTTCAACTGCCAAGAAGTCAAAAGAAAACAAAAGGTCATTCCTGGGGCTGGTGAGATGGCTCAGTGGTCTAAAGCACCTACTTAGAACAAGCTTAGCAAAGCACAGGGACCGCGGTTCAATCCCCCAGCACCACATGCCAGCCAGCCCGCCCCCTGGTGGGCTGAACTGGCCACACACACACAAAATAAATAAATAAATTAATTAATTTTTAAAAAAGGTCATTCCTGACAAGGTCAGTATCCTCCTGTGGCTCCTGTTCCCTGTACCCCAGAACAGCATCCCAGGCACTAGCTACGACCCAGACCTCAGGCGGGAAGGGAGGGGCGGAGGCGGAGAGCTCGCTCACCACTTGGCCACGAGGTTGGCGAAGCTGGCCTCTGACAGCAGCCCCTGCTTGTTGCACTCCTGGAGGAGGAAGCTGGTGCAGTCGCAGCTGGGGGAAGCCAGGTGGGGGAGGCAGGCTCAGCGCCAGGGCTGCCAGCCCCTCCCTCCTTCACTGCCCACGGTGGGGGGCAGCAACAGCAGCCAGCAAGAAGCCAGCACCTGAGGCCCATGCCACACAGAGGGCAGGGGACGGCAGGCAGAGGGCAGGGGACAGCAGGCCCTCCCAGTGGCGTGCCAGGCATCCCTACTTGCAACGCTGGTCAGCTTTGTCCAGCAAGGGTGTGAGCTTCAGCAGGAACTCGAAGGCACAGTTGACGTCCTCGGTGAAGTCCTACAAGAGTCACAGCATCCCCCTGGGACCCAGTCCTCCCCGCCTCCACGTGGCTGTGCTGTCCACGCTCACAGATTGCCCTGCTCGCAGAGAGCAGCTGAGGCTCGGGAGATGCTTCAGCAATCCCCGCTCCCACAGGGTCTCCAGCCCTGTCATCAGGGACAAGCTGCCTGCTGGAGCGACCAGCCGAGCCGCCCTCCATGGGGCCGGTGTGTGCAAGGATGTGGGCAGGTTCCAGGACACACTCATGGGCCTCCCGCCTTCTCCCAACTAGAACACACAGCCACCTGCTCCACCCTGGGCCCTTTCCTGGCCTGTCGCCCACACCCCATGCTTTCTCCAACTCACTCTGTCCCCGTGAGAGTATTTCTTCAGCTTCACCAGCACCTGTGGGATCTAGAGAGGGAGGGGGGGCTGCTTCTCTTGTCCCCATCCGAGGCCCCCAGCCGCTGCCCTGGACACCATGGAGGAACACTGTTTCCTAGCAGCAACAGTGCTCCTCTGCCTGCCAGAAGCCTGGGGTGGAATGGGTGGGTGGGTGCAGGCCTGCACTCCCAGGCGGCCAAGGCAGGAGGTCAGGGAGTTCGCGGCCAGCCTGGGCCAGCTTGCTGGCACCCAAATGCCCAAGGCCCCTTGGCCAGTAGGACATGGGGACCTCTCAATCCTTTCACTTCTGTGGATGGGGACCAGGGCAACCCTGTTTCCCTGCTGCCTGTGCAGCTGCTGAGGGAGCGGCACATGGCCCAGGTCAGCAGGGGGCATGAGGCTAAGGCCAGCACGCGTGCATTGCCTGGCAACAGCCCCAGGCACCTTGAGGTAGGTGAACGCTGTCCACTTGAGCTCCTCGGTGCCCTCGGGAGACTCGATAAGCCCCACAAAGCAGGCCTTCCAGATCTCTAGCACGAAGAGCGGGGTCGGGATGTGCTGTGGAGGGGCGGGTAAGAGAGGTGGTGGGCCCTGCTCTGCAGGCGGGGCACCCAGGCCCGATGGCAGCCTGGAACGCTGGGAACCCACCTGCATGCGCTTGATCATCATCAGCTGCTCCACCAGCGGCTGTGTCTCGCCAGTCAGGTTCATGGTGCCCTCCAGCAGGACCACGGCATGCACCGTGGGGAAGCCAGTCTCGTGCAGCTGCTCCGAGTGCACAGAGAGCATGCTGGGAATGCTGCGGGCAGAGCCAGGCCAGCAGGGCAGGGATGAAGACGGTGGGGGCAGCAGGTGGCAACCCTGGGACGCTTCCCCAGCCCCCTCCCGTACCTCCTGATGAGCACACCACACTGCTCAGCCTGGCTGCGGAGCTGGGGGTTGCCGATGCTGGCCAGGGTCTCCCCGAGCTTCAAGAGACACTGCTCAATGGCTGTCCAGGCAGCTGCGGGGAGGACATAGCAGGTGACAGGAGTAGAGGCAGGGGCAGCCCTGCTGCAGAGCCGTACCTAAAGTCAGGGCGGGGCAGAGGGCGGGATTCCACCAAGGGGAGCAGCACCCAAAGCCCCACACAAGGGCCTGGCCCCACCCTGGGCAAGCTGTCTTCCTAACCGCAGCAGCCTCTGCCGCTGACTAGAGGGCTCCGGCCAGGCCAGCCCTGAGGTCTGTAATGTCACCACCCTCTCCTCAGGGCACACCAAGGTCCCTAAGCACTGAACTACAAGCCACTTTTTCCATGCGCTTGATCATCCTCAGCTGCTCCGCCAATCCCCAGGCTGGCCCCAAGCCCCTCTCCTGCAGTGCCAGCTGAGGACAGGGACCCTGCCACCGGCTCTGGCAGCTGCCTGACAAGGGCCCCAGCCCCAGGCTTGCTCCACAAACACCTGCTGGCTGACTGGCCTGGGGGCACCCTA